CAGATGGAGCCCATTCATAAGCCCCAAGACTGTATCTCGTCCAGGGCTAAAAAATGTGTCATTGCATAAGCAACCATGAGCTCAAATCATCTATCTGTTTATAACCAGCCAAGGAAGTATGAATGCGAAGAGAATACTGCAGGAGTATCAGTGGAAATTTATGTGTTCCCATACTATTGTAAAATACTTTATTTTTAATACTGTGGAATACTTTATTTTCGCTGGAATTAATTTTCGCTGAAAAGGCTTTTTGGGCGTTTTGCTTGGAATTTATTTTCAATGATTTTTGATGAGATTAATGTGAAATATAGGAAAAAAAGTATATTCGCTGGATTTTATTTTCACGAAATCATCCCGTCAGCGAAAATAGCGAAAATAAATTCCAAGCGAAAATAAAGTATTCTACAGTAGCTGGAATTAATTTTCGCTGAAAACACTTCAGGTGTTTTGTATGGAAATTATTTTCACTGATTTCTGACAAGTTTAATGTAAAATATAGGAAAAAAGGTATATTTGCTGAATTTTATTTTCACTGAATCATTCCTTCAGCGAAAATAGCAAAAATTAATAATTCCAAGCGAAAATAAAGTATTCTACAGTATTAGTATTCTACAGTATTGAGTACCACTTTGTGGTATTTTTATGATAATCTTACTGTAAAATACTTTATCTTTGCTTGGAATTAATTTTCGCTATTTTTGCTGAGGGAATGAATCAGCGAAAATAAAATATACCGTTTTTCCTATATTTTACATACAAAACACCACAAAAATCAGGGAAAATTAATTCCAGCAAAAATAAAAGTATTTTACAGTACTTTGTGGTATCCTTATGATAGCCTTATTATTATACAACTTTTTTAACGGTATACATTATATGGAGCCCACAACTGAGCAAACGGGTGCAAAATAGTGACACTTTCACACCTGGTTTTCAAGTCGGCCATTTTGGAAATACCACATACTCATTCCATATTTGGAATTCATGTTACCTAATAAGGTAGTATGTAGATACCCTGCTCAATACCGGGAATATTTCGGAAATACCACATACTTGTTCCATATTTGGAATTCATGTTACCTAATAAGGTAGTATGTAGATACCCTGCTCAATACCGGAAATATTTCGGAAATACATACTCGTTCCATATTTGGATTTCAAGTTACCTAAATAAGGTAGTATGTAAATACCCTGCTCAATACAGTGAAATCATGGCATGATATAACTTATGAAGGTAGAATTTCTCCTGAGAGTTTGATCAGGATGTCTAATGAAGTACAGCAGGTGGCTGAATGGCATTCTTCCACATACAATTTTTATAAAAGTAAGCGACTAATGAGTCATTATGACAAGAGGAGACTGCTAATTAGCCTACAACGCCCTTATAAGGAAACTCCTGAGGGTCACAAGTGCAGAAATATTATTTACTACAATATGCCCATATTTGGACATTGTGTTACATCACAGCGAATCACAGTTCTTTATTACTCTGTTTTCTACAGAAACTGAATCTGCATAATATTTTGTCAATACCCATTTCACCACGAGACTTTCTCGCCCAAATTGTTCTGCACTTTTTTCTTATATTCTTTAATATTTCTGGAAATAAACCCTAATTTTGGAGAGCCAACAGATAAAATTTGAGTAAGTTTTCAGTTTTTATTCAAAAAATCAGACTACTTTTTGCCCCAATCTTCTGAACGAAAATGCAGACAATTAAACAGGACTATTTTGTGATGACATTGACATCTTGTGATTTAGTACCATTTGATTTGAGTTACGGTAGGGCTATTGAAACTACACCTATTTTGTTATTAGACCTACCATATTTATTCTATTAGAAGTGCATTTCCAATTGAGACAAATACCAGATTCTGCCGTAAATTCGCCCAGGGCCGTTAAACGGCAGTTCAGATTTAAAAATAAATAAAATGGGACCGAGAAACCGCCCAGGACGATTTTTCGGCAGTTTTTAAAGGTGTTATTTTAATCTTTTCTGATGCCTAAAAGTTTTGCCGTAGTCATTGACGCCTATTCAAGAGTATTGATGTTTATTGCAACTAGCGTGAATGGGTTAGCTTCGTTTCGACAATGAGCTTTTATCGCTGTAAATAATGTTAAATTTTTCTTCAAATGCTCAGTTTATCATTTGAAAACAACTAATTTTTTTATTTAAAAACAAATCATGCCGCTTTCCCATCAAAATCCAAGCCAAAAGATCGTACAACATCGGCAAATCTCTTCCGTGCTGCGTTCAATAACATTATCTTATTAAAATGGGCTATGGTAATTTGAACACGTTGGCAACATCCATCGTTTTTATTGGTTAATTATCGATTTGATCTGTCAGGTCAAAAAACACTGCTCAGGTCAAACATGGCGGATATTCATTTCAACAGCATCGAGCGTTGAAAAAGCGGAATCATTCGCTTATGATGAAATAAGTTGAAAATTATTTGCATTTCATAACAATTCAACAAATTTATTTTTTTGCACGTTATTATAATCATTACTAGGTAATAATAAACAATTGTAAAACGCAGCATGACCGGATTGCGCTACCACGATCATTTGCTACTAAGCAATGCAGTTGTGTTCGTTATTATTTGAAACTTCATTAGAATATACTTTCGTTACTAATAAAATGAAACCAAATAATTGTATTTGGCGCACAAGGTTCGTTAATGTGATTTTTTTGGAGAAAGATGCGCGATCTACTTTTTAATCCAGCTAGAAAAAATGTATACAATTTAGATTCTTTCGTTTTAGGTGGTCCAACTGCCGGTGTTGAAAATCGGCGTAGGTGGATTTTTCAATGAAAATATAAGCCCCTAAAAATATTTGATGATAATTTTTTAACAATTTGAACACCAAATAAGGGCCCACCAGCCGTGAAACTGCCCAGGGCGATTTTTCGGTTGGGCGAATTTACAGCAGAATCCGGTATAAGCCAAAAATCACATTTACTGTATACTGAATTTTGACCATAGAAAAATCTGTTAAAGGGGAACCGCTCAATCCCATGGATTGCACCACGTGCTCATGGGTAATTAACTCCGCCTCTGTCCATTAAGTAAATGAATGCTTATTATGCTCGCTCACTCAAATTGTGATTGACAGGCATATTGCATACATTAGTCGTCATTTTAAACTCAAGATTTTTACTTGTCACGGCACGTTTCGACCGAAAACAACAACATTTATACATCAAAAGCCCAACCATATGAATGTAATCGCTAGCGTATATATTCATGCCCCAGTAGAAATGTATTTGGAATCACAGCTTGATCTCTAAACATCGTAAATGGCACATTTCCCCGAGCTCCAGCCACGATGTGAGCGGCTTGATTCGGATTAGCATACTAATTGTGGTGGCCATCGTGGCCATCTTGCCCCTATTTATAGTACCGGTTCCCCTTTAACTTACATGACCACATGTGTTACTAATACGGTGGCCATCTTGCCCCTATTTATAATACCGGTTTCCCTTTAACTTACATGACCACATGTGTTACTAATACGGTGGCCATCTTGCCCCTATTTATAATACCGGTTACCCTTTAACTTACATGACCACATGTGTTACTAATACGGTGGCCATCTTGCCCCTATTTATAATACCGGTTACCCTTTAACTTACATGACCACATGTGTTACTAATACGGTGGCCATCTTGCCCCTATTTATAATACCGGTTCCCCTTTAACTTACATGACCACATGTGTTACTAATACGGTAAATTTGGCAATTGTTTTGCATGTATTGACTGTATCACTGAATCATTGAAACATTA